AAAAATCACACGCAAGTGATTTTCCCCACTCTTTTATCATCACTCCACCCAACTAGCTGTGTATTCCTACCGGTCCCATCTTTGCCCCCTACAAAATCTACTGATTCCGGGCCTCTTTGGAAGCCTTTACCATCCATGCAGGTTTTCAGTTAACGCTACATGGTGTAGGACCCATGTGGCTTCACCTACATCCCTATTGTGTCTGCGGTCTTCAACTCCACAGGGTCCACGAAGCTTCCAGGGGTCTCCCCCCTCGGCTCTGCCAGGTGCCATAAGCCCTCAACGAACCTTCCCTGATAACGAGGCGCTAAGGAGGAAACGGGCCCCCTGGGACACTTACAGATATGGGTAACAGGGGGAGGTATTTATAGCAAATGCTACCAAGCCATCTATGCACGACCTTTTGGCTTTAGGGTGACTAAACATCCCCCTTTCCTAGGTACTAGCTCATTCAGAGCCACTGAGGATAGATGGAGTTTCTTTATCAGGTTTCACCAAAAGGAATTTCACTTTCTGGGCTTAGAGGGAAGCTTACAGCATGGCCAGCAGATACAGGAGCCCAGAAAATGCTCTCTGCAGCTTCTCCCATCCCCATGCCCCGCACCATTCAGGTGGTTAACCACTAATTTCCTATTTCCTAGAGCATTTACTATCATCAGTTCCCAAAGTTATAAGGAACCAATTATCCCACAGAGCTGTCTCCATGACACGGAGTTCCCCTAGGAAACCCCAAGTCTCCTTCCAGGAGCAATTCAAAACAGAGGGCGAAAGAAAAATTCAATACTGGTAAAGTCCAATTTTGGGGGGGCCCATGTCTTCTGGAAATCTACCTGTGCTTCTGTGGCTCAAAAGGCCTGTCTTCTGCATGTGCGGACACAAGATAAGCACCATGTTTCCACCTGCTTCCCCTCTGCCTCCACCTCAGGTCATGGCCATCATTCTTCACTGAAGATACCCTTTCGTGACTCTTTCTTTAAAACTACAACATGAGAATGTTTACTTTCAGACGCAGAGTCACAGAGAAGACTCTGCAAGTGGAGATGTCCGCGTTGGGGGTCTGGGTCCCAGGCGATGGGCATCCATGGATAAGCGCAGACGGCCAGGAAGGGGTCATCTGTCCACATAGAGGAGCCCAGTGCGCTAAGAACCCATCCATCATCTTCCCGGGCAGCCACATCCACAGCGTTGGTGTCTTACCTGTCCACCCCTGGGTTCTGTTCCTTATGTGTCCCCAGACCTTACCCCTCCTCCTTGCTGGAGGAATGTTCTTCCTGGAGCCCATTCAGACTTTCCTTCTTGAAACTACATCTGCCTCTTGAATGCGAAGGCTGGCCTCTAGAACCCTCCCTCCTGGATGCCCCTCCCTCTCCAGCCTCCCTCCTGGAGAGTTCTACTTGGCACGGCTGGCTTTGGGACCAGCCCATTTTTGAGAGATGCCTAGCAGGGGGCTCTCCAAACCCCGAATCTCTCTCCAACCACCTTCAGCCTTTGGCCATAGCCAGGGCAGCTTAACCGGTTAACTCTTTGCAGACTACTTTTCTTAAATCCATCCACTTTTTAAAACACACACATTTAAAAATGAAATTACAGAACATCATTTGCCATAAATGGAATGTAACTCAACCATCAACTCAACACACATACACACACACACACACACACACACACACACACACACAAAAGTTGTGAAATCCTAATTAGTGTCCCTAACTGAAGGTACTACATTTGAGGCCTGCTCTGTCTTTCTGAAACACCATCGCCAAGTTCCACAGATGTGTAAAAGACCCCGGCACAAACCAAGACCCTCTCTGGCACAATCGGGAGGAAAAGGAAGGGTAACACTTCCCAGACACGAAGGCAAGTGTTATTTAACACCCCTGTCTCCACCATCTAAAATCATCTACCTGCAGTAGACAACCCCTCCCTCTCTCCCAAGAAACTTTATTGAGCATCTACTCTACGCCAGGTACTTTCCAGGGGCTGGGGAACCAGACACCTTTTTTTATAAAGGGCTCTGCTCCTCTAGGAGACTTCAAACCTACACTTTAAAGAAACAGCTAGACAGCACCCAGGCTAGCTTTCCCTCCAGTCTAGCACGTTACACTAAGGAAAAACCCAGACTCAAAACTGTGAAAACCAGTTCCTACCCCACACCCCCAGAGACTCACTATCTGCCAAGCAGTTTGTCTGATTAAGCTCTCGATAGAAAAAAAAAGACGTGTGGTTATTAGTTGTTTGGCATACTTTGTAAGCAGCATTAACCACCCCCAAAAACCTCAAGGCTTCCCAGATAAACAAGTCCCCACCCCACGCCCTTCCCCACCCATCCTAGGGGTAAGCCCCCCATGCCAGAAGACAACTGACATTTAAAACCCGATTGAAACCACACCAAATGCTGTCTATTTTAAATGTCAATGAGGAAGGCGGCCAGGCTGGCAGGTTCCTCCAGGACTGATTGAAAAACCACTTTCCTGGAGCTGCATTTAAAAATCAATCACCACAGATGGCAAGAGGAGAGGCTGAGGACAAGACTGACCTTTGAGTCAAGGGCAACCGAGATGATGCACATTTGTAACTAATTACCTCTTTCTTAATCTTTATGTTTGTCTCTCCCTGGACAGGGACTTTCTTTCCAGCAGCTGAGACATCTGAGCCAAGTGAATTCCAGGCTTCCGCAACATCTCACTTTGTCCAGATTTACAGTGGCCATTTTCTGCTCTGTGTGTGTATGTGCGTGCTCATGCATGTGTGTGTCTCAAAAGGACTGACATCTGTCATTCTTTAGAAGTGCACATAAAGGGCTCCTGGGTGGCTCAGTTGGTTAAGCATCTGCCTTTGGCTCAGGTCATGGTCCCAGGGTCTTGGGATCGCGTCCCACGTTGGGCTCCCTGCTCAGTGGGGAGTTTGCTTCTCCCTCTCCTACTCCCTTCCCCTTCTGCTTTCCCTGCTTGTGCTCTCTCTCTCTCTGTCAAATAAATAAAAAATCTTAAAAAAAAAAAAAAAGTGGGGGCTCCTGGGTGGCTCAGTGGGTTAAGCCTCTGCCTTCGGCTCAGGTCGTGGTCTCAGGGTCCTGGAATCGAGCCCTGCATTGGGCTCTCTGCTTAGCGGGGAGCCTGCTTCCTCCCCCTCTCTGTCTGCCTCTCTGCCTACTTGTGATTTCTGTCTGTCAAATAAATAAATAAAATCTTTTTTAAAAAAGTGCACATAAAAGTAAAAGCTTGTAAAAGTAGAATCTTGGTTAAAAAAATTAAAAAAGAGAACGCCTGTGTTTTTAAGACCTAAAACCTCTTTAAACTGTCTTAAAAGTATTTTCTCCTAGGATATGGAATAACATCACCAACCTGAAACCAAAATGTTTTCTGTTTTTATGTTACTTTCCCATTAAAAGGGATGGATGACACCTTAGAATAACAAACATGCATACGTATAAATTTAACAACCACGTTACTCTGTCTTCCTCTGTGCTCGTCCCTGTCCTGAACACTTGACAAACAATAATCTAGGTAGTCCTCACAATAACCTCATAAGGTTTGGTCCTATTACCCCTGTTTTTATAGAACAGAAAACTAAAACACAGAGAGGTAAAGCAACTTGATCAAAGTCACACAGCTAGTACGTGGCTATGCCAGGCACTGAAGTTAGGTAATCTGGATTTAGGGGGCATGATCTTGACCACTCCCTCCCCACTCTGTCCCCCCACCTCTCTCCCCACACACTCTGTGCTGAATGCTTTACAGGTGTTATTTCATGTAAACCATAAAATGACCTTTAATGTTTTTATTCCCATTTTACAGATGGGGAAAACAAAGCATCTTGTCCGAGACCACTCAGCTAATAAGTGAAAAGCGGGAGCTCGGACTTCACCAAAGTGTCACCTAGTCAGTTACTCAGTCAAACAATGGTGTCCGTCTCCAGGCCCTCCCCTGCCCCCATGAGCCTGTGGTTAGAATCAGGAAAACAACTTGTATTCGTCCTCTAACTGAGCCTGGAACCTTGAATTCAATAGCCCCGTAACAACAGGGTTTGGGATGTCAGATCCCCTGATCCAATTAACAGAACAGACCAGGAGGCTTAGCGACCAGAAATAAGTTGGCTGAAGGGTACTTATAGTTATGGTGACTTAGATGCCATCCATGGGGGTGCGAGGGAAGGTCGCTAGAGCAGCAATTCTCAAAAGGTGGTCTGGGGTCCCACGGGAGATCCTCAGACCTTTTCTACATGGTCAAAACGATTTCCTCAGTTACCCTAAGCTACAACTTGCCCCCTTCCTTGCACCCTCCATGAGTGTACCGGGCAATTTTCCAGAGACAAGACAGGCAGTATCGCAACAACTGAACAGGAGACAGATACCAGGATCCAGCTCTCCCCTCTGAGACCAGAAGGCACAGATTCACAAGCCTAAAACAATGCCGCTCTTCGGTTAGTTTATTCTGGAAAAGCTGTCTTTCACAAAAATGCTGTTTAGGCTAATGGGTAATAGGTCTATTCTTTAAATGAATTAAATATTAAATTAAATAATAAATAAATAAAATAATAATAATAAAATAAAAATATATAGATATATAAATATATAATATGTATTATATATAATATATAAATATATAATACATAATATAAGTATATATAAATATATATTTATTTATAAATATAGAAATAAAAAATAAAATAAAATAAAAATAATAAATAAATAATAATAAATAATAAATAAAAATTAAATATTAAATGAATTAAATATTTTAAAGTTTTTCAGGTTTCATTTCCAATAGGGTGAAGACAGAGATAACCCAAGAAAGTGGTCATTTGTAAGAGCGTAAAGGAGTTGTGAGACTAAAAAGCCTGAGGGCTGCTGCCCAAGGCCATCATGTCCATTATAGGAGGGGAGGGGCCACACTGACCCTGCACGTATCGGGGACTCGGTGACCGTAATTCTGGATGCTGAAGGAACGGTACATGCATCCACATACACTGGAATGACGGATATTCAGACCCACGCAGCTTACCTGGAAATAGTCCGTAATGAATGATCCAAGTTCACTCTTCAGCAGCCTCCTGGGGAGAGAGAAACACTGTCAAGCAGTCCTGGATGGTACAGCTCCCGGGGCCTTGTTCACAGATGCATGACGATAATAGAGTGCTCGCCAATGGCACAGGGACCAAGGCCAGGTCTAAGATGGGAGTGTGTTAGGCTCTAGTAACCCAAGAGTTCTTAGGGAATTCAGGCAATGGAAATCCTACAGGGGATCCAGGCAGCCACAGAGGATTCTTTTTTTTTTTTTTTTTTTTTTTTTAGAGAAAGAGAAAGAGTGAGCAGAGGGAGGGACAGACAGAGAGGGAGAGAGTGAATCATCAGCAGGCTCCACACCCAGTGCAGAGCCCAACACGGGGCTCAATCTCACGACTCTGAGATCACGACCCAGCCACTGGACATTCTAATAGGGTTGGTAGAGGCAAGCCCAGGGCACCTGGCTTCATGTGGAGGGGGTAAAAAAAAAAAAAAGCAAAGAGAAGAAAGACCATAATTTTAGAATCCTCCATATTTGTAGACATTATGGTTTAAACCACATCTGTCATACATTCTTCAACCCACGGTTGTAAAATACGTGCAAGAGGAAGGTAATTATTATCCCTCTTATGCAGATAGAGAAACGGAGGCTCAGAATAAGCCAGTGACAGAGTCAAGATTCAAACCCAGGCCTCCTGCAAATTCAACATCTTTCCCCATAATCCCACCCGGTCTCTCCTCCAAATCCATCAGCTCATTCAGCTCCGTGCCGTGGCTGGGCTGGTCTTGCTGCCCATCCCCGAGGGACTGAGGAAGTCCTTCAAAGGCGACTACGACAGGGAAAAGGGATTCTACTCACCCAGCCACAAACATTTATTGAGCTGTCCTTCACATGCCAGACACTGTGGTTGTACCAGCTACCCAGAAGTGAGCACAGGAGGTCTCGAGGCTCACAAACACACTCACGAGATGACTTCAGAATCTCAAGAGCTAAAATGACCTTTTATTTTTATTTTTTTTAAAGATTTTATTTATTTATTTGACAGACAGAGATCACAATCAGGCAGAGAGGCAGGCAGAGAGAGAAGGGGAAGCAGGCTCCCCGCTAAGCAGAGAGCCCAATGCGGGGCTCGATCCCAGGACCCTGGGATCATGACCTGAGCCGAAGGCAGAGGCTTTAACCCACTGAGCCACCCAGGCGCCCCTAAAATGACTTTTTAAAATAGAGGTCTTGGCACCAGCCCCTCTTCTCCCCATGACAATCATGGGACTGGCCCCACTGCTCTTTTTTTCATTGGATCCAAACAACGTGAGAAAGCTAGAAACAAGAATAACTCATTCCCCAGACCCGGGGCGTTCCCTAGGAGGGTACGCTTTTCACTGCTTCAAATGATGTCACTGACCCATCCCACCAGTCATGGTCATGAAGGGGCAAATGCTCAGGCTTCTGACAACACCTGCTGGCTATCACCCCCCCACCCCAACAATGTGTTCCCACATGTCGCTGGAGGAGAAACAGGAAGTCACAGCGAGGTAACATTAGGGGCAGACCACAGACACAACAGGATTGCAAAAGAAATAGAGAGAGCGAGCTCCATGGTCCACATTCTCATACCAGAGAGACCCCTGCAAAGCTGCAAACACATGCTGAGCTAGGAAAATACCTTCCTTGGCCCACGACCAAAAATGTGCATGTGACGGATACTGCATTCTGAGACCTAATATCATGGGGGGCTCTTGGAAGGCTACCCCACAAACACAGCCCAGCAGCTCGCCTGGTTGTGGGTCTCTCTGACAAGAGGCAGGGGAACATGCATCAGTCAGCAGGCCAAGGGCTGGTCGGTCATCAAGGCTCCTGGAAGCTAAAGGCATCTCCTAGGCAGAAAAGAAAAACCAGTGGGGAGCCCCAGGTGCAGGCTTTCGAAAAGGAAGAGTCAGGGAGGCCACTTCTGACTGCTGGAGGGAGAGGCACCTCCCAGAAAGGTCTTCATGGCCACCGGGAAGCCTTGAAACCACAGAGGAGGAAGCCAAGCTTCCTCAAGGAGGGGACAAAGAAGCCCTAATAATAACGGGCTACCCCGAACAGAGCTTCCCAAGCACTTCTTGGGTCCCCGTGACGCTGAGGGACGGACATGGCTTTGAGATCAAGTAACAGGCTATGGAATTGGTGTTCGCGAGCAATTGTGCTGGGACACGGCTCGTGAAGGTGCTCTGGGTAAAGTGGAAGGAGAAAGAGGTCCGGGGGAAGGGTAGTCCTTCGAGGTCAGCTGCTATGGGAAACCCGCCTGGAGCACCGTGGAGGAGGGACCCATGTCAATGTGAGCATCGTTCATTAGGCTGGATATGGTCAGCAGGTGATTACTGCCCAGGGACGCTTCACGGCGGTGCTCGGGAGCATCACCACGCTACCCAACTGAGGAATCTGAGAAGCATGGTCCCCGACCGGTCAGGGGAGGCAGAAAGGCTGCACCCACAGCGAGGGGAAGGTACAGCATCTTCTGGTCCTGCCAGGGCTGCTGCCAGCCATGGCCACGGGCAGATGCTGCAGAGCGTTGTAGAGAGACAAAGCTTGTGGGGGGGGGGCAGGTACTGGCTGATAAAGGAGCAGAGGCAAAGGACACAACCAAGACAAGGACAAACTTAGAAGCTTCAAAAAGACTGAAGCTTCTAAGACTGAAGCTAGAAGCAGCCATACCAGGAGCAGTGCGATGGCGATGGAGAAGATTGAGTGGCGGAGCACGGAGATGCTTCCACCGCGCAGAGAATGTGGGCCCTCGGCCCTTTACTGAGGAGGAACCAGACAGAGGAATCTGCACGACAATCCACCTTCTATACTTTCAACCTAATTAATGGACTACTTCTGCTCGGGTATGGTAAGAGAACCAGACGTGTGTCCTTTCCTCAGTCCCGAGTTCAAACCCCTGTCCACTAGGTCTTGTGATATAGATGACGCCGAACAGAGTAGACCCCATTGGATCATTTAAGTCAATGTTCTGTTGTCCTGGGGAGGGGAGGAGCCAATCACTAGGCAGTTCTGTCCCTTACAAAACCTGTCCTACTTCCGAGCACGTTATGTGTTAGACAAGGTCACTGCATCTATGTCCAGAGTTTTTGCTGCAGCAAAATATAGGAATCAACGTCAATGGGCACCAATAAAGTAATCACAAAAAATCATTGTTCATTCATACAATGGAATTTTATGCAATGGTTAAAAAAAAAAGAACTCTAGTGATACATAAAGATCTAGGTTATATTAAGTCTTAAAAAATGCAAGATGCTGAAAGGTGTATATAATATGCTTCCTTGTGGAAAGATAAGAGAAAAATAAGAATATGTATTTTTATTTACAGAATATGAATTAACTCAGGTGTCACATCTGTTCTTTGAACTTATTGCTCTGGAACAGCGATGTGATTTGGTTTCCAACAGGCCCTTTGAACTGAAATAGACAGCACCTTGATTTTGAGAACACACCAAGCATGTATGCATTTTAAAAATTACATATAAATGCACTGGGTTTTGTCCCCTCCTCTCCATCTCCCCAAGTAAGGAGCTGGAGAAAGTTGCAGCCGTTATTGGAAATTAAGTAGGGCAACAAATCACGTCAGCAAACTTTATTCCCTGAAGCTAGGAGGAGGTAGAGATCCCAGTCTGTGGATCTATCAACTGCTGAGTGCCCCCGGTTGCTTGTCCATATATATGTTCCTTACCTATGCATAAAGAAGTTCTGGAAGAATGTCCAATAAGCTTCTGTTCTAGTAATTATCTTTGGGAGGGGTGTTGAATGAGAACTGGGTTTCTGGGGTATGGGAGATTCTTTTTTTTTTTTAAGATTTTATTTATTTATTTGACAGAGAGATCACAAGTAGGCAGAGAGGCAGGCAGAGAGAGAGGGGGAAACAGGCTCCCTGCTGAGCAGAGAGCCCAACACAGGGCTCAATCCCAGGACCCTGAGATCACGACCCAAGCCGAAGGCAGTGGCCCAACCCATTGAGCCACCCAAGGGCTCCAAGATTCTTTATAACTCCTTATTTATTTAAAATTTCTGTACCCCATGAATCCTATGAAAAAGCCATAAATTTAATTAATAAGAACCACCACCAGTGTTACCACCAAATGGCCTGCAGGCGAGAAGGAATTCTGGGAGGGAGTTTTCATCAAGGTTGCAATGTCAGGAAGCGGGTGGTCCCAGGGAACCCACCTCAGCCTGGCAGCCTGAGAATTCAACTCAGAGAGAAAAGTGGGGAGGCGGCCAGAGCTGGCCCAGCCATGGGAGAGCAGACTGTTGCTGAGTCACCGCACAAGCTCCAACCTGTTTCTATTCTCGGTGTTTATTCTGCTAGCACTTGATTTACAAGGAAAGAGTACTTCTGAAAAACATGATCTTAGCTGAACTGAGAGAAAAAGGGATTTTCCACACCTCTGTCTTGATACACCGTCTTCACTGGAGGACTCGGCAGTAGCTCTCCTCCAGAGCCACGGAGAGAGACTAGAGATCCACGAATTCATTCACCGAATCACAGCCGTTTCCAGAACACCTGCTGTGTGTCAGACACCGTGCGGGCTGCTGGAAGGGATGAACAGGGCCTGGACAGAGATTTCTGCCCCCCCGGTGCCACTGTCTCATGAGGCACAGGAGCCCTATCTTCTCCAAAAACAGACACTACGAGCACCAAGGCGTTAGAGGTGCGCAGACCTAAATTCACACAGAGTCAACTCACCCTCTAACCTTCCTCACTAACTTCGCCAGTAGAGTTTGGAAAGCACCAGAAAGGAGAGCAAAGCAGGAGGAATGACAACAGAATTAACGAGCCTGTGGTTTGTGGTTCCCTAGATCCGAAAGAGGTGAAAACTCTCATTGCCTCCAAGCCCTAGGCTGCGTGTTCTGGCTAAGGCATGGGGGGCTGTGACTCTGGCAGCCTCCCTCCCCCTTTTTCCACTCTCTCCCAGGGAATTTTCCCTGAAAAGAGGAATGTAATTCCTTACTGGAACAAATAGATAAGAATAAGGAATCAGCAGTAAATGCTCCCCAGGATGGAGCAGGATG